ATGATCAAGCGTATGATCTTGTCAGATCGTATAAAATCTTGTGACTTCTTATAAGGTCGTATAATTTCTTATACCTTCTTTGTGTAAGATCTTATAAGATCATACAAGATCTTGTACATTCCTACGATAAAAAAAATCTTATAAGAATCTTGCTACAAGATGTCATATGAAATCTTGTAAGATCTTATAGGAAATTGATAAGATCTTTTGAAATCTTATGATTTCTTATTATCCGATCACCCAAGATCGTTTATGATCTTGTAAGATCTTGTTATCTAATCCTTGAACCTGGGAATAGGTCACAGAGAGCTGAGCGGCGTTTCATTCGACAGAGAACACTTAACTATTTATTGTAGCATATTTAACTTGAAAGTCGAAAGCCTTAATTAAAGAGAGAGAGGAGTTGTTAGCTTACTCTCGGAAGGAAATATCTAAAAGCTGCTCCTGTCTGCTAGGAGGGGAGTGAGGAACATTGAAACCACGAATAAATGTGGCTTACCATAACCAGAATACATAAAAATATATAAAGTAGTAAATAGTGAAAATATGCGATCGACGAGTTAGATGTGTACGTGTGTTTTTATCAAAGACGAGAAAAAACAAGAACAGAATTAAAACAGTTTATATAATACATCACACAAAAGGAAGATTAAGATCTCTTTGTTTTTCTTTTTCCTTTTTAAAAACACGAGGTCGACAAGGTAAAGATGACTAATGGAAGAAGAACGAGAAAGGAGTATGATCAATCGCCATGTGGACTAATAGAAAGGAACACTGCCCCCATAGTGTCAAAGTCAGCGACATCAGCATGGTAGAGCTAAGACCGCCCTCCTTGCCAAGGATGTGTCATCCATCCTGCTAGGTGATTCTTCGAGAACGTACCACATTTACATCGACCAAATAAAATCGAACGTATCAAAAAACAGAATTAATTGATTTTTCTAACTTTACTGAAATTTTACATAAAAAAGCTTATCTTGATCCCAATAAACGGACCCATTACACGTGAAGTAATCCGATATTGTTGACCCGATCTTCGCGTTATAATGTGGATCAAGACCGAGCTAATTGAGCTATTAATATCGACATAAGTCAACCGTCCAAAAGTCGCCTATCAAAGGGTTAAACAAGTGTTATATCATCATTAGATACTATGTGAAAAAACACCATATCCACAGAATGGTGAATTACTCGTGAGATTTAAAACGACTGAACAAGCTAAAACCGCCAATGTTGATTTACCACACGATGCATTCAGTGGAGGAAAATTATAATACTGGTGTAACACACAAAAAAACCAACAATATTTTTTTAACATTTTTACTAAAGTCGGGGCGCCCGCGGCACCTACTTCCTGTTAGACATGTGTCTTCTGTCTTTTGTAGCCCCCATTTAGGGGGAAGCAGCAGGGTGATTCTTTTGAAAGCGTACCAGAGTTTACATCGACTTTGCCCGAATTGTTCGGGAGTAACAGGACTAGTACAACTCGGCCTCCTGGTGAGGCTGAGGATGAGTACGTACGAACATTTACATACCGGAACCTTTTCTCTACTAGTGTTGTAGTAGGAAATTTTTCTACTAGTATTTTTTACAGGTTCACTTTTAGGTTCCTGCGTTCTTTAATGCTGAAAACGAATCTAAACTTATAGGTTCGTACGAATATTTTGATACAAGAACCTTTCTTCCTGCTATAGCTGAAATCTCGGTTTTTAGGTTCTTGGGTTCTTGCACAGCAAAAACGAATCTAAATCTTCACGTTCGTACAACCTTTTTAGGTTCGTACGAACATTTAGATACAAGAACCTTATCTTCTAATATATTTTATAGCTAGACTTTTAGCTTCGCTGGACATATTTAGGTTCGCACTACCTTTTTAGTTTCGCACGCACGTTAAGATACAACAGCCTTTTCTACTAGTATTTTATGTATGTAGGCTTTTTGCCACTTGGGTTCTTAGATGCCGCAAACGAATCTAAATTTTTGGGTTCGTACGAACATTTAGATACAGGAAGCGTTTCTCCTGGTAGTTTTTATATCTAGGCTTTTAGGTTCTTGAATTCTTGCATGCTGAAAACGAATTTAAGCTCTTAGGTTAGTACGAACATTTAGATACAAGAACCCTTTCTCGTGTTAGATTTCAAATCTCGATTTTTCGGTTCTCGGGTGCTTGCATGCCAAACAGGAATGTAAATTTCTAGGTTCGTACGAACATTCAGACACAACAACCTTTTCTGCTAGGATTTTTTATATCAAAGCGTTTAGACTCTTGGGTTCATACATTCCGAAAACGAATCTAAATTTTTAGGTTCGTACAAGCATTTAGATACAATAAGCTTTTCTCCTAGTATATTTCATATCTAGGTTTTTAGGTTCTTACATGCGGTAAATGAATCAAAATTCTTCGTTTCGTACTACGTTTTTAGGATCGGACCACAAGAACGTAGTACGTTTACGCACAAGAAAAACGTAGTACGAAACGAAGAATTTTGATTCATTTACCGCATGTAAGAACCTAAAAACCTAGATATGAAATATACTAGGAGAAAAGCTTATTGTATCTAAATGCTTGTACGAACCTAAAAATTTAGATTCGTTTTCGGAATGTATGAACCCAAGAGTCTAAACGCTTTGATATAAAAAATCCTAGCAGAAAAGGTTGTTGTGTCTCAATGTTCGTACGAACCTAGAAATTTACATTCCTGTTTGTTAATATTACAACTTTCTGCATGCAAGAACCCGATAAAAAATACAAGAAGAAAAGGTTCCAGTATCTAAATGTTCGAAAGAACCTAAAATTTGCATTCGTTTGCGGCATGCAAGAACCCAGGAAACTAAAGTCTAGTTATAAAAAATACTAGTAGGTATATACGTACAAGTATAGTTAATATTACAAAGAGGACGCGTCAAAAATAGATGGGTATAGTACTGTGACAATAAGTAAAATCGCTTACGTTTTCTGAGTAGCAGCTAAAATCTTTCAGTTCGTGTTTGTATAATTCTTCTCATTCATTTTGAGTTTTGTTTATTTATTTATTTTCTCTGTGGTTGATGAAAAATAATTGTAAAAATAAACAAAGAGAGGCTAGCAGTAAAGGTGCTGATGAGAAGATAATATGACAGTACAATTTTATAATAATTCTTTTCCCGTTATAATTCAGTTTTAAAATAATCACAATAGAAGATCCTTATTTTGAAAGCTTATAAGAATAGAAGATCTATACAATAAACTTCAGGGACAAAGACAGTGGTCATATCCAACTGAAGAATTTGGTGAAATTTATACTCCACATGCAGCAGTTCACCAGTCTATCGAAGTTTTAGATTTAGACCACATTCAAAAAGAACCTAACCAACCTAACTTCATTGTATATATTTACTTCACACAAACCTTACCTATAAAAGAAATGTTATTTCAACCGAGAAAAAAGCATTTTATTGTCGGTGGCATCATTTAAGCTTTCTTTGAATTTTACTTCATTTGAAGCAGAAAAGCTAGTTGTGAACGTATAAAACATTGATGTAATGTCTAATCTATCTGAATACAACTTTGAAAACGTATTAAGCTAAAGTTATTGTGTTGGAAAATAGAAAAAACTTAAAACTCTTATATACTTCGACGTCTGCTGCATAGAAGTGGAAATATCAAAAAAAAGAATGGAAAAAGTCTGCATCAAACCGCATGATCAGATTTGATTCTTCTAGAATCTTATACTTATCTTACTTTCAGATTTGATTTTCTAGAGGAAATATCTTATTTTGGCTGTAGTAATATAAAAAAGACAATGAAAGAACAAGACAAATAATGCCATGATTAAAATAAGCGAAAAAAGACTGATGAAAATAAGAAATTTATTCATTCCGTACAAGTATTTCGCTTCTTAGCAGGCTCCTGTTACCGTTCTGTCATTAAATTATTTATATTCAATATATTAACTTGGAAAACGTCAGCAAACGGCTGAATATTTGATTTTGATTCATGATCTTCTGAACAACTGTCACCAATAATAGCAAATATAATGTAACGAAAAGATTTTTGAAATTTTTCATTAATAACTTCACGAAATAATTGTGCAATGTGTCTCGGTGGATTTCCAAAAGCTATAAAAAGGATGAATAATTGTTTACTACATTCTCAACCTAAAATACATGCCTATTAGAATAGAGGTAAACGGACGTATTTTTCACTGTATGGATGTGGAACAAAGTTAGTTTTTCTTTCAAATCGTCGATATCTAATTCTGGCTCCTTCAGCTCCGCTTAGGTAATACAGTAAAATTTCTGTATAGTGAATGCCGCCGGGAGAACAAAAAGCGTTCAATATACAGAAGTGGCCGGTTTAGAGAGGTCAGGATAATAAACGTTCATTGCATTTATCGACATGTGTACCCAATGAGGGACAGCATTTCAGAGCTTCTTTTATTCTAAATCTGTTGCGAGTTTCATGCGCTTCTTACCTCGATTTTGCTTAATTCGTTTGAACAAAAATTGTTACTATCAGCTCTTTAAAGAGCTCTAAAGTGGATCTCAGATCATGCAGATGTAGTCTAAAAGCTTCTCTTCCTAAACATCGGTGAAGTCAGTGTATTTCCGTCAGCTTTTCTCCAAATAGGGCTTTGAAGTTAAACGAGATTCTCCGTTGTTAAATAAAACAGGCGTAGTTGTTGCAAGAAAATCATCTTCTGTCAGTTGATGAACGGAATCAGCAATATTCACTTCTAGCTCAAGGAGTTTGTGAATTATGTCATAAAAAGTCTGATTATGCTTTTAGTGTCTTGAATACACCACTGAGAGTGGAATATGGAAGAACTCAGAAAAAGCGTCTGTTTCGTTTAGATTAGAGTTTTTTTTGCGGGATAGAGACTGAGAAATAAAGCGTTCACTGTTCGGGTCAGAGAGCTTCAGTTCAAGAGAAAACCACTTCGTCAGACCACAACGGTGTTCACTTTAGCGAGGTGTGCACATACGTCGGTTCCACTGTGAATAATAAATAATAAAAGAAAAGTGTCACAAACGCCGATATTTACCGCCGCAGCCGATAGCACCTAAAACAATGGAATCATGCTTATTTTCCAAAGCAATTTGTAATATTGTTTCGATTTTACGTTTCGTATTATTGATGTAATCTTCTCCGTCCAAATAAATTTGTCCATCTTCACCTTTGCAGATAGGTGGCATACAGTAAGCAGCTACAGTAATGAAACTTAAATTTTGTGGTTCAGGAAAAAATGGATATCCATCAGATTCAGCTCCACGAAACACCGCTGCATGTGGAATGTAAATTCCACCAAATTCTTCAATTGGATATGACCACTGTCTTTGACCTTGAAGTTTATTGTACGGATCTTCTAAACATTCAAATAGGTTGGTTCGACGATGTAAGTTCTCCTCCTGTGCGGCAGATCCCTGTATTGCAAGAAAAACAAGAATGAAGAAATAAAAATTCCATAAGAAGCATCCGTCACTCGGTAACTTACCTCTTTCCAACCGCCACCAGGATGAACTTCGTTGGCAAAATTGAGTACAACAGGATCACATTGTTGATTTAGTTTGAACCATAGTGCTGCATCAATGCAGTCGCCTTGCACCATAAATAATTCAGTTTCATAATTCAAATTTTTATCAAATATATATTGATGATTAGATTGATATTGTACTGTTGTTTGAGCTGAGTGGTGCATTCTATCTTTATCAAGTGTAATACATGTGCCATTTTCTAATCGATACCTGCCATTTAAAACGGCATAAATTGTTTGAATTTGAACTAATTTTCTTAAATTCGTACGAATAACAGAACTGATGTTGGCTTGATCATAAAAATATTTAACAAATTCCGTAGGCGAATGACGATATTTTTCCGCAGCAGACATGTAACAATCTTTTACCATATGTAATTGTTCAACATTTAACGGAGCGTCATTAGGATCAACCTTGACTGTCTCTTCATTTAATTTAACTTTTAGTGGAGGCGAAGATAAAGGATACATTACTGGCGTTGATCTAAAAACACTTACATTACCTTGGTGGCCATAACGCGAATGATGTACTCTAAAATACTTGGCCCCATCGCAGGCACCCTTTTTTCTTTCTGGTATCATATATCGAATTGTTCAATGTATTCAACATCTCTGAAATTTCTCAAAAATGTCAGAAATCCCGATTACGGTTTGCATGAAACTTTTGAGACCTCCTAGAAATTCTTAAGTAACAATAAATATCCCAGTCACATTTCTAGAATTCCTAGGAAGTAAAATTGGTTATACTGCAATCGTGGTCTATTATAATAAAGCCATCTATTTCGTCTTTAGCACACGAGAAAAAGCAGCAGCAAAATAAAAACAAGAAAAGCTTTATTTAGGCCACTTTTCTCTTATTCAACAAAATATTGTTATTTTGTTCTGTTTGTAAGTCCTATATGCTCGCCAACAACATAAAAATAAAATTTCATTTGACATGAATCATATCAGTTTTATTTCGCAAACTTCAAACAGTACATTTCTACGTCTACTTTCGACAGGAACACAAAGAACTGAGGATAAACACTTGTGTATAACACGAGGAGGAGAAAGCGTGTAGAGTAGAAGGAAAGAAAAAAGGTACGTACGTGCATTAATTCTTTCTTTAAATTGTCTTGGCTTTTACAACTGACAGAATGAAGTATAAGCAGTCATCATTTTGACAATGTAAATGGAAAAAACCGAAAACCAAAGAAAAAATTTTCTAGGAATGTGGTTGGAACTCCTGTTTTTCGTATTGCTATGTAATTTTCAACAATGATGCTTATGTTTCATTAAAATCAACGAAAGTGCGAAGAAAAAAATACCCTTTACCGATCGGTTTTCTCCTTTCGTTATTGTTGATCTATTTTCAAGCCCTATAAATAGTCACATACTATCAGGTTCTGATTTGTAACCATCAAAGTATGAACCGATTATGCATTTCTCAAAAATGCTAAAAAGATGTGAATTGAGATTTTCTTATATGGTTGAGAAAATCAGCCAAAATTCATAGAAATTCTTGAAAAATTCACGAGAATTTCTTAATGTTGAGTCTGACATTTTGGGAAATATTAGAAAATGTCATCGAATTTCTAATGTTTATAGTTGAAATTCTTCTCATGTACGAGAATTTCTGGAATTGTCGCTAGGAGATATGGTAATGTGATATTGAAATGTCACTGGAATATTTATTGTTATTTAAGAATTTCTAGGGCGTTTCAAGACTTTCATACAAACGGTAATCGAGATTAGGAATTCCTAGGAAATCTTGTTTCTATATGTGATAATAAAACGAAAAAACAGTTACTGAGACCATTAGAAATCTGAAATTTCGAAATGTCGTATTGAGATTTTCGACATTTTCTCAGAAATCTCGAATACATTGACATTTCGTATATGTGATATCAGAAATTTTCCGTTCTAATTTTCATGTTCAGGGTCACCGTTTCTGCTAAATAAATTCATTTTGACAATTTATTTTCCAAATTAACTATGTCGAAAAGAAATAATTCTGGTAGATTAAAAATGAAACCTGATTTCATATTCGATGTCAATATCGAGTTATCTGCTGTATTAAAGAACGATCAAGAAATACGTAGTACATTACAAGATTTGATCAAAATCTCTCAAAAGATATTGTAAAAAGAATGATGATCAGCAAATAACCATTAATCGTGATGATATTGATTCAAAGTTGTTATAAGCTTTATTTAGTAAGAAGGAAAGAGGGAAAAGGATTACGTTAAAACTAAATATAAGAACAGCACAAAAAGAAACAGGAAAATCCATGACATCATTTAGTCTGTTCATGAAGAAAACAGTTGCTAGTGTACAATAATATTAAAGATAAACACACATACACATACACATTAGGTCTGACTAATAGCAGACACAGAAAGACGAAAAGCAACTGAATAAGTATCACTAACATAAAGAAGATGAAAAAATAAATTAAAATGAAAAAGATAGAAAGAAAATGGAGGGTTGTCTACGAAAGCCAGTCAATGATATTCAAGTCTGAGAAATCCTAGAAGTCCCCCTATACATACATGTACATACATACGTATACATTACACACGCCTTGCATATATATATTACGAGTACATACATACATATGCATATATGTATATATATCTAAGGTTATTAGGATTTCAGAATTTCGGGATTTCACGATTTCAGAACTATGCACTATACATTACACACGCCTCGCACAGATACCATAACTATCAAATGACAATAGGCATGGTACATGAGAAAGTCGGTCTAGCTTAACCGATTTTTCTCGTTTTTGGCGCTTAAGGGTTTCTCGACATGCTCTTTCGTTTGTCTAGTGGTAGGCTTTTTCCAAAGTGCTTGGAAGTAGGGTTTCTATAAAACCATGATTTTTGACGTACAGCTTCCGAATAAAATTAATTTAAAAACAAACTAAACGTCAGAAATTAATTTTGAGGATGATATTCGTATTCAGGATTGAAACATTTAAAAAAAAAAAATCAGTCTTCAACGCAAAATCTGAATTTTTAAATTAATTTTCCAATTTTAAATTTTAAGTATCTCAGCTCAGTAAGGTGATAGAGAGTTCGTTCAAACGGCGTAAAATGTATGCAGTATTAGTTAGACTGTCAGCTAGAATCAGAGACGGAGTTGAGGTTTCAGTTAGAAACTAAAACAATACACATACTGTATTATTAAAGTCCGTGTTCTCTAACATAAAGTATTGTGAACATTGTTTTGTATCCTGATAAATAATAAGGTATTTTATCCGTCAATTCTGACCTAGCGTCATGAGAATCTCAGCAAGAAGCTCTCCCAACAAACACTTTTATCATCCAAATTTCTTTTAAAGCGACTTTGAACAAATCGACAAAATTGTAATGAGCAAAGAAAAAAAGTGAGCCTGATATATTTCTTTTCGAAACAAAGTCTCCCTTACGGGCATCTTAGTTCAAATAGAGAAAAGTCTGCCCGGTTTTTGAATATTACCTGTTATGGTGGATTAATCTTCTCCATTCTTTCGTACTTTTTCAAAAATTGTTACAATACATTCACTATCAGATGTAACACAAAGCGATAAAACTTTAGACTGAATAGATAGTAGATACACGGACATATGCCCATGTAATAGAAGAACATTTTCTTTCTTCTACTTTACAAAAGTTTATTCGGGATTCTTTTATCTTTCTCTCCATTGTATATCACACACATCTTATCATTAAAAGAATTTTTCTTGTCCCTTTGTCTTCTTTACGTCTACACAGATACATGATATACGTCAGCTACCAATAGTGATACAAATTTCAGACTTTTCAACCAAAAAAGCGAAAGAAAGAAAAAAATTTCAGTACTGGTGAACGTTATACATGACTGGAACAAACTGCCCTACCGGCCTGGCCAGCTAACTCTACCTGCGTACGTAATTCCGTGACGTTTTTCTATGATTTTGTTTTATTTGCAGAAATTTTTGAAAAAGTCAGAACTCAAAAGTAAATAAACCATTTTGTAGAC